GACTTATAAATTCACTGTCGCCTCTAATCAAAACAAAAATCTATTTATAACTTTTGAATTCGAATTTCTAACCGCAAAAATGTTTCAGTTGCATGGTTGTAATAATTCTCATAAATTTGTTGGCGACTCGTGATCGCCAAGGTATTCTTTTAAACCCAATATTATTATGCTGGTAGGCTTTGTTTTGACTTTGCTATATTTTGATAATTCGCGAATTTTGGATCTCTTACCCATGCTTCGGTGTCCGTTGGGAACAAATTACACGTACTTTTTAATTTGGCTTTTGATTAGGCAGGTTGTGGGGGATTTATCTCCCATGGCCTGTCCTTATTAATATTATTATGCAAAATTGATTCAACTGAAATTCTTATGGATTATATTTATATTTGGTACCTCGAGCTCTGCAAATATATAAAATAAAAGCTTTTTATTAATTCTGATCCAGTTCAAGTATTCTATTCATCATCTTCTGTTTTCATCGCAATCTTCAATTTATCAGTATTCTTCAACTTGGCCCACTATACCATACAAACTCCAACCTCACCTGATATTCCACCATCTCACCAATATAAATGACCCACTGAAATATTCTTCTCCATAATTTCTAAAACATTTTACGTACTAACCTTATCATAATCGAATTTTACTGTGAATTGTAGCAAATCAGCTTGATTTGATATTTCTTGTAATGAGAAGCTCAAATAATTTCTCTGTTCTGAAGTGTATTTATTTTGAACTGATTTTAATTTATTGAACTTTATTGAGAAAATAATTCGTTTGTGATTTTCTTTAATGCTTTTTTTAGCCTTTGCCGATACACGATTGCAGTTCGAGAATTTAGAGAAATGTAAAATACTGTAAGTTCATTTTTATTTATAATTTTAAAATATTCTGACTTCAATTTATCAAATGCACAAAATAAATATTAATACGTTTTCAAACTGTTTTCACTATTTTCATATTTCAAATTATTTTAGTTTATGTAGAGGAGAGTGGGGTCAATTGTAATATTTTTTATATTAAATACACCTTGTGCGCCACCTAGAAAGCAAATCTGGAAACCGACACTCGAAATTTTTGCTCTGTTACAATCGTAACCTGTTACAATTGACCCCACTCTCCCCTACTGTTTTTCAAGTATGCAAAGAATGTCTATTTGAAATTGTATGAAAGCTTGGTCCTTTCTGACGAAAAATGTGTTTGGTAAAATTCAGAGAAGCTTCCAAACATAGAAACGGGCGATTAATCAACGAGAAGCGAAGAGTCATAGAATATGGCTAAGTTGCTAAATTCTAACTTTCTAATCTAACAAAATTAAGCTGTTCTGGAAGAGTGAAAAGAGAAAGAAGCGCTTCCAAAGTATAAAATTTTTCCCGTTAAGCCTTATTTTGTTTGAAAATTTATAAATCTCATAACTGCAATTAAATACACTGAAATTTCACTTAAGTGCCTAAATATACTGTAATAAAATGTTCGCGTTAAAAATTACAAAACTGACTCAAAATATGCAAAATACTATCTAGCAAAGGACACATCTACACCCACATAAACCAATCAGCATTTCATTATTTTCCCACTCCGTCAAAATATGTATACATAGAAACCCAGAGAGCAGTAATTTACGGGTAAACCTAATTGACGCTACCAATCCTTTCGAGCGAGCCGTTGTTAACATGTTTAAATACCTCGGTTCAGATAAAATCAATTCCGCACCGAAAGCGCATATTGAAGGACAATGCGAGACATTTGAAATTATAACGGTGTAATGTTGTTTAAAAATTGAAATAAAATGCTCCAAATTGAAATTATGTTTGTGTGATCATGGGTTGCTGGTGTCGGAAAAGCTCGTCATATATTGGGAAAATCGCATCGTCCCGTCTTACGTTCCTGAAGGAGTCAATAGAGGGCTCTGCTGTGACTGAGGAGGAAAGAAAGCTTTGGGGAATTTGTTGCGATGACGTCACAGTGGAACGCCATTCGGTATTTATTTATGTTTAAATTTTAACTTTTTGGATTTCTAGGCACTGCTGTAACTTAAGATCATTGAGAAAAATTCCTTATTATAGAAAAAAATGCGGAAATTTATTAGATATACATGGAAAAAAGACACCTAATACTGTAGCCAAAAGAGATAGTAGCCACAACCGAATAGTGCGAAAATAGAAGCCTATTAACTGTAGTGCGAGCGTGGATGGTGTTTTAAAAAAATTTCTTGAAGTTATTATTCTCTTTTTTTTTGTCAAAAGTAAGTGAAAATTTTGTTACGCTTTATATATTCTTTGTCATAAAACTGTCCATAAATAGCCATGGTCAAATATTATTTCAATTAGAGATTACATAAGTTAAATATGTATGTAAGCTTGATAATTTTAATTATGAAATATTTACGTATCACCAGAGTATAACACTAGGTAGCATTTCTGCATGTGTTGAAAATTGTTCAATAATTAATCTTTTCTCCTAAGAAATCAATATATTTATAACTGAAAAAATACATTAAAGGTCTAGAAGCTAACAATTTATTTAGGAAATAAAATGAACTGAAAGGGTATTGTTATCAAATTTTATCCAGCAATTAACCATATTTAGCTCTTTATAAACCTATCTTACTCTAGTGATTTGCTAAATTTTTTTTTCGCTTAAATATTTTTTATTCCTCATGTGTAATTTTTTTTCCAACTTCATCTTTCACAATCACTCTAAAAAATTTATGCAAAGTCGATTATGACCGAAGTATACATTATACGTTGAAAACTTTTTTTTCTGCACTAGACATAGTTTTCTAAATGTTATAGTACAAAGATTGCAAACTGATATTTGTTATTTGCATGATAATCTTATTTCAGTTTCAAAAGTACTCAGAAGTTTTTTCGCTACCAACAAAAAACGAACAACGAAAGCGATGGTCCAGATGAATTCTTCTCGATATGGCTGACATTTTGTTCAGACTTCAAAGACGTGTGGAAGAAGGAACAAGCTTTAAAAATTATTGAGCAAAAGAAGTAAGTTAGAGACGCTCAATTAAAATTGCATCGTATACTGTCAACGAGTGGAGATAATTTTTGTACCGAAATGATTTATAAACGCATTTAGAAATACATTAAATTTTTTCCGTAAATTAATTTAAATTTAAAGTTTCAATGCAGAAAATATTTGTCAATAAGGAGGAAAATAATTTATGCTTTTCTCGAGGCTTTTTCTTAAATTTTTATTCAATTTACACCAGTAAAAAAAGAAAATATTAAGTGATGGGTTCTTTAAGATAGTTTGTCAAACATGTGTGTCTTTAGTAAATGATGTATCTGTTTTAAATTTTAAAAGCTCTTGACAATGACAGTTTAAAAATGTGGTGTTAAACTAATCCCAGTTTGAGATCGTTTTATTTCACTCAAATTACGTTGCGCTTTTATAAACGGATCCAATGTACAATGCACCAACAAAGAAAAAAAAACGGTTTGTATTTTTTTTGAATTTTTTTTGTTGAATTTTTTGGGATTTACTCTTTTGTATGACGATGAAATTCTGCAGTTTTCGACATGGTTCTAAATGATTTTTCATATAACTCCGTAAATATCGGTCCTGTCATTTTGAAACTTGAAGTTTCCTGAACTACCATTTTGTCACCGAAATGATCACTAAATAACCCTGATTGACGCCGAGTCGATAAAAATATAATTAATCTGAGCTTTCTATGGGAAATATATTAAGTGTTATTTTATCTCTGAATTACATTAGAATTGTGCGATCGATTTTCTTGAAATCTTTTTATCAAATTGATTATTTATTATCCGTCTGAGATATTTAGCCACATAAGCATAGAAAATTTAAAAAATATTTACAAATTCATAACAGTGTGTAGCAATTACCTTGTATTGTATAACAAGTAAAAATAGTTTTTATTTCTCTTGTTGTTTAAATTTTTAAAAATTTCGATATAAATGTGAAGTTTTATGCCTGGCAAAATTATATCTCGTTCTCATATTTTAACTTCATTTATTCATTTTTTTTGGCATCAGGTTAAGCGCAAGTATTAAAGTTGAACCCTCCAACAAATTGGAATTTTAAAAAAAAAACTCGTGTAAGGTTTATAACAAAATATAGAACTTCGTCGAATATTAACTTTGTATTCCTGAAGCCTGCATGGTAATTTTTAAACAAATTTAACTGTTATAATTCTCGAACTAATTATAGAACATTACATTTTTTCCATTTTTCACAGGAAAGCAAAATCAAACGGAACACTGAAAACAGAAATGTTCTTTAGTACAGAGATAAATTCATTTCATTAATAACTGTAAAAATGTTAATTTTTTTACGTACATCAATTATAGTGTACGTATATTCGAAAAGTTATTAATGTTATACATTTTAGAATCTAATAAAATAAGTTTGGCAATGCTGGCGAGCAGTAGTTCAAGAAAACAAATGTATATATTTTGAACATTGAGTGTCCTCTAGGTCTGAGATGTTTAAGCATGACGTCGCATTTTCAGTCCTCTGTTTCTTCTAGGGATTACATCTGAAATCTGTACATCACAAATGTACTGTTGTTTTCCGTAAAAAAATTAATAGAGGTATCTTTTTTTTTTAGATTAAAGAGGCTTCAAGAGCTTCAGGAGGGGAAGAAGGCTCAAATTACAACTATAAAAACGAGACCAGGTGGACTGGTAAGTTTTAACGAGACATCGTCATTTTTATTGATTGAAAATAGTGTCACAGTTACGTACAATTTCACACGTTTAATGCAACTTTTTCATTTAAAGCGTTAAAGGAAACTACCATCTCTATCATTTTAAATAATTTGTTACTTAGTTAACGATCTAAGAAAAACGATACTTTGTTTTTTCAATTTAAAATTTTTTCTTAGGAGACACGAAGCAATACCGTATAATATCCGTAAAACTTTCAAAAAACATTAGTATAAGGATTTTTAGACAATTGTGCTTAAATTAAATAAAAAACAATGGCAAGTTCATATCGAGTAGGGATCTTTTACCTTCAAAAAACGACAGTGTAGGAGGGAATATCTGGCAACGGTTCACAAATTGCATGGGGACTTTTTTTTCTTTTCTTCCAGACGTGGACTCGTACCTAGGTTTGCAAAACCCTTAACCGTATAGTCCACGTCTGGCTACCAGTCTAGCTCGCATAATACATAGGTAAACAATTACATAATACATAATTGCGTAACAATTACAAAGTACAATTGTATAATACATAACACAGAGATAATTTTTTTCCATAAAATTTAGTATACAACATTGAAGAGTCTTGTAGATGACAATGATGTGCATCACATTTGTTTAAAAAAAACAATTAAATGAAGTAAAAAGAACAATAAATGAAGCGAATTTTGTTTTGTGCATAATAATTGAAAAAGAGAAATAAAACAGAAAAAGAATAAAGAAAGTGTAAATGAATGAAATGTATCATGTAAGACAAAATTAAAAACTGTTAATAAACACTTTCACGACTACTTAATAAGTCAGGTTTGATTAAAATTTTAATAAGGAATCGTAATTGTGGGGACTATAACAAATTAATTGCATGGGGAATATAACAAATGATCCGTCTATCACTGAGGATATTTTACGTCAGCAATGTAGTTGGTGCTGGCCGGGTGCAGAATTCGTTTCAGCCAGCCATGGCTGGGATTCGAATCCTGATCACCTAATTGGGAGGCGAACGTTCTATCTCCTGAGCCACCACTGCTCCTTTTTCAATATAAAAAGTCTGTAAGTAAAAGTACTGTGTTCTAATATTCAGAATTTTCTTCACTTACTTTATTTTTGAAATCAGAATTTCGCCGGATGATTCTGCAACCGAATATTTTCTCTATGCAATATTTCTTTTTTACTAAAAATTAGTATGCTCAAAAAATATATTTGCCAATAAATATTCTTTTTTTTTTCTTCCAGAAAGCCAAGCTGAAAAAAATGAATCTTCTTAGCATAAAGGAAGAGAAAAAATCGAACGTCGAAAGCTGATCCACTTTGTCCTGAAACTCCACAAAAAAAAATTCTTTGCCTTATAAACTGAATGGTACTTTTTTATAGCTAAAGATTTTAACTAACATTTAACTCAAACACCAGAAGCAGCGAGTTGCATGCTTTGAGCGTATCATTCAAAGAGATTGACTAAATGCTCCATTTTTCTTACAAAATATCTCAAATTTATTTATTGCTTGTTATAAACAACGGCTGAAAGTTGTTTTCGATTTAACATTATTAATTCAATAATATTTGATAGATTTCATACATTTATTCTATTTGCAAGCTGAAAGTCTAAGAACTGTAATATAATCGTTACAGCATGATCAGAAAGCGTCTTTTTGTTCTGCGCACTTGAAGATTACTTTAAGTGTTTCATTAACTCATGCCATTTTCAAATCTGATTTTTTTTCCAGAAAAAATAAAATAAAAAATAAGAATTTAATATTTTCCCCCATTTTTTTACTTTTTAAAAACAATTCGATGGTATAATATAATACAAAAATATTTCGTTTGGTTAACTGTTATCACGAGAAAAGCGAAAAAATAAAAACAATAGCTTATTCCTTATTCTGTGGTTGAACTATTTATCTATAAAAACAATTATTATTTAGAAAAATCTAAAAGAAAAAAAGTTCTTCCCAGTTTTTCTTAATAATTAATGTTAGTTTATTTTCGAATACTTTTTTAAAAAAGTGAAAAGCTAAATTTTAGAAAATTTTTTTCAGCAGAATGGACCTTGGTTTTGTTGTTGCTTTACTGCAGCCAGATAAGAGTGTAAAATGTAATATTTAAGTGCGCACAATAAGAGACACATTTAAATTATATTATTATGATAATATTATAGTCTTATATTTACAGTTTGTAAGTTGCCTTTCTGTAAATAAACAGATCAAGAACAGAATAAGAAATGAGTTGTTTTGCTTTTTGTTTTCTCTTTTTCCTTAAAAACGCAAAATTTTCATTTAACGTATTTTTCATATTTTTTTCGCTTTGATGTATTAAATTAGGTCAAAATAAGTGAAAAATATTTTATCTAGCATATTAATAAAGTATGGTTTTGAAATACAGCGTGAAACACTGGTGTATATTTCTGTAAAATTATCCAAATTCAGCTCACTTCCAAAAAATAATTCTTCAAATTTGAACTAATTTAGATCTAAAAGAAACAGTTCTTCATCATTGAAATTTCACTCATTGACAAAATCGATCAAATTAATAAATTTTTGAATATTAATGGAAAAAAATGTTTTTCAAATTACTTTTTGGGGGTTTTATATTTTAAAACTAATATAATTCCAATTATCTCACACATCTTTTTTATTAGCTATAGGACTATTTTATATAGTTAAAAAAAATACCAAAATATATTTTTGCATGTAATTAGAAAGTCAGAAAAAAAATATTTAAATGGGAAACTAGAGTCCCATCTGCACCAAAGGATTAATAATTCCTTACAAATCCCGGAATTTAATGCCATAAAGATTGAAATTTTAAGTATTTCAGTTTTTGCAAAAACAAAAAAACGAACAAAAATATCTAGAATAAAGTACGTACTGTTACAGTCATTTATTGGAGACAAAGGGATATCAAATGACGTTAATTTTGCATTTCTTTAGCATTATGCTATAAAAAAATTTATTTATACTTGATTACCCTATAGTATTATGAGTCTAAAGTTTGTTATTTAATAATAAGAGAACTTTACAACTTTTATAGTGTTTGCAAATATATCCATTGATTTATGTTTTGTTTTTTACATTATTCAAAAATTATTGTTGTCATCTTGAGCTTTTAAGCGTACGATTTTAAAATTTTATTGTATAGTTAATAAAAAATATATATGAAATATTGTTTTATTCTACTGTAATTTTCCTGAAATAAAAATGTATATATTTTTTTCTCATTGCTATATTTTTTATACAATATACTAGTCTTAGCTCAATATTTGAAAACCTGATCTCTATAATTAGTAACTCTACATGAATTTATTGAGCGATTGTTGAAAAATAAGTATAAATTTTGTTTCTGTGTTGCCTTTAGTAATAACTAAAAATTAGAATGATAATTTTGCAGAAAATTTAAAAAAAATTATTATTCACTCAGTATTGTTGCTTTTTCCACGAATGATTTTAAATTTCATATACTTATGTTATGTCAAAATAAAATAAGAGGTGGACATTCTCTGGTAAATGTCAAAAACCAAAAAGTCGCTTTGGTTTATGCCGAAATGTCATTACTTACACCGATATATTTCGATATCCAGCATGCACAGATTGTTTGGTTCTAGGTAAAAAAAATAACCATTTCCATCTGTGTATACTGAAATTTGCTGGTGTAATTTTAAATAATGATAATTAATAAAACGTTAGACATTCACCAAAGCTACTATGAAAATTCCGACATGGCCCAGTGGGCCAGCATCCAAGGTTTCGTGGCCGAAATTAGTATTTCGATAAATTTTGTTTCAAAATTTGGGGGCTTTCATGTGCAGCTAAATTGAATTCATAGGTAGAATTTTGAAATACACTAAAAATACCAAAAAAAAAAAAAAAATGGCGGCTGAAATATGGCGTACTATGTAGGAAAAATAATATAGTACGTTTAAATAATTAAATATAGCAATGAAAATATAATAATTGTCGTAATTTTATATTAAAAATGAAAAGCAAATTATATTTCCGAAGTAATATTACAAAATAACTAGCATTAATTACAAAATAACGCGAACACGTGAAAAAAAAAAAATTTGTTTTTCGGTATATTTAGTCCACCTTTGCAATACGGACAAAATTGGGCAGGTTTTTTCGAAAGAAGATACGTTAAAGAAGACAACAAAAAAAGAGTTAAGCTAATTACCTCGTGCAACATTTGGGAGATAAGTTTCGAAAGTGATTCAAACATTGTAAAAAATTTTGATAAGATATAAACTATAAGTTTGTCAAGAGTATTAACTAATCCAACAAATTGAAAAATTGTACTATAATTTCAGACTAATTACTCTGGTAAAAATGTAACAGTAAGGTGAAATTTCTATATATATTTCTGAAATAAAAATTTAAAAGTTACATTTTAAAAAGAAATTTTTAACATATTTTTCATTACATATTGTACTCTCGTCGGTCCAGAAAGTAAATTATAATGTTTGGAATGATTATGAATGCTTAATTTGGGCTATATTAAAACTGCCTACACATATTTTAGTTGAAAACTTAATTTTCGACTTTTGGCCAAAGATCATGGTTTTCTGGTCCACAGTGCATGGATCAGATTTTGTACCTAAACCCTTAGAGCAAAATAATCTGTTTCAAAATAAACTCTAAGTTGTTGTCTAGCGAAGAATTTTATAAATAAGCTAGTTTCATACAACAGCATAAAAAAAATAAATGACATGATAAAATTATACAGTTATTTCTGAAAATTGAAATTAATGAAACTGATAGAGATTGCAGAATTTTTATCGAGTTGGTAATCAATTAAGGCATGGAACAGATGGATGGATAACTTTCAGCCATTTCACCACCAAAAAATATGGCTCATTGGATAGAGCGTTCGCCTTCCAATATTCGAACCGGGTTCGAATCCCAGTCGATACGAATTCCGCATCCGGCTTCTACCGACCACAGTGCTAACGTGAAATATCCTCGGTGGTAGACGGATCATGGGTTAGAGTCCCCTTGCAGTCAGGCTAACCGTGGGAAGTTCTCGTGGTCTTCCTCTCCATGTAAGGCAAATGCGGGTTAGCTCCATTAAAAAGTCCTCCACGAAGGCAAACTTCTCCCAATACTCGATCCAGGAGTTCCCTTGTCTTTTGGATTGGGTTCCAAATTACAAGGCTACGGAGTTGAACATTAGTAGTCGCAAACCCATAAAATTGGGTCGGCTGTTATAAAATAAAATAAAAATCAATTAACTTTGCTCTTCATTTTTATAAAAAGCGAATGCAAATATTTCTATTCTCAGTAAATGAAAGGGCTAAATTTTTATTTCAATGCAAGTCTATAACGAATTGATAATTCTATGTCTAGACAACTGAGCTTAAATCTATTTTTTAACCTTTCTCTCTTCAGCCACATTAGACATTAGCATATACGTTATTAGGTTAATTTCCAACGAACTTTTTGGCTTTAAATCTTTAGCCAAATTATTTATATATTTACACGAGAAATGGTGAGGTTGGCTAACTTGGCTTTACTTTTGGCTTCTTCGATAACTCACCTATAATGAATCTCTCCTGTACTCGGCATTAATTATCTTTTGATTTGTCACTTGATTATGCAGGTAGTGAGGGAGTTGTCTCATCGCCTCTTAGAAGAGAGAAAGCACGGATCAATTTAGCAAGACCGACGTAACGAACATTAACTGCGCAGTGGATAAAAAATAAGAAAGATCTCATTACGCTCGGGCTACTGAAAGATCTAATTTCTTGTTTATGGTAACCCGCGCTGAGCCCTTCTCTTTTCTTGGAGGTATTGGTCATCTTCCCATGGCCTGTCCTTATTAATATAATGCAAAATTTATAATTTTACTTAAAATGTCACTTGAATAACAATGCTCTTTTTATTTTACACCTTAAGGTCAGAAACGAAGTAAAAGTTTTATTATGTTAATAAACTTTTATTTCGGAAAGGTTTCATCATTTGCTTCAATCAGAGATCTTCCATCAATTTTTATGATGATCAAAAATTCACCTGCTTCAATCTGAACCAACTGCCACACATTTTCCATTACAAGGGGGGATTCGATTTTTTAACGTTTTAACTATTCCTTTCCCCCAGTCTATAATGAAAAGCAATTTTAATCTAAAGTGGGTTATAGTGGAGGGATCAGAAATCCCTTGCATTGTAAATGTTCCGAGATTTTTTGCGAGAGCTCAGGGACTCTTTCCTAGAGAGGAATGATTATGATTAAACGATGATTTTAACCATTATTTCAGAGAGGCTAGAGATGTCACAAGTTTTAAAACACGCTCGGCTATACTGCCGAGTAAAATAAAAATCGACGTAAGCGACAAAAAAAATTCAAAATTGAGATTTATATATATTTGGCATCCCTGCATGATAAACTACACATGTTACAAAAACTTTTTTTAATTATGAATAAAAAAAAATTATGTTTTCTGAAATTTTATTTTAGCGTTCACAGGGGTCTGTTTAGAAGAAATTACTATTAGACCCTTCACAAAATATCTTTTCATAAAAACTGACCCTTCACAAAATATTTTAACTTTAAATTATTTTGTGAAGGATCTGTTTTTATCTTTTAATCGGACCCTTCACAAATTTGTTTATCTTCATTATTGTTTTGTTATTCGAATAAATCCTTCCCAGGAAGGGGCGGGGAAAGAAAGAAAAATAAAAACGAACTAAGTTATGTCTTAAGCAGGCGCTTCTTCCTTTATTAGTCCGAAATTAATATTCTGCGTTCTGTAGTATAGGCTAAATACCAAATATTCTCTAATTTAGTAGCAGTAATTGCTGTTTATTTTTTAAAATTAAATATTTTTTAATTTTACAGTGTTGAGCATAATCTTGTATGTCTTTACAATTTAAGAACCCCTTGAAAAAATTTTTTGCAATAGCAGGACCCTATTTGCACAAATTCACAAAAGCAAGACCCAGGTTGAAAGAATGTGACTTAACGTTTATTTTATATTCACAAATTACGAGTAATTTTTTCACAATTTTACAAAAACGGACCTTTCACAAAATGTCTGGACAGACCCCTAGCATTAGCAATAGAAAGGAAATGGTTAACGAGCTACTTTTCTCGGAATCGTTGAGCAATTACGTTTTTTTTTTTCAATTGCACGACAGTGTAACACAGTAGAGGATGCGAGGCACCCCTTTGAATTGCAATCCTTTCTTTATTTTCTTCAAAATCCAACAAGCCCCTTATGCCTCTCCAAAGCACTAATAAAAATATTATACAAAAGTTTGGGTGCAAACGAATGAAGTGTTAGAATTTAATGATTTGAATTGAACAGTGAAGAATTCAAATTTATCACACTGCAACACCCCATCCCACTATATTCTCAATCTTCTTTTTTGTTATCTATTAAACTTAGTTTTTCTTGACTTGAAACTTGATTTTCAAAGACTTGGCTCTAAAAATGGGATTGGCTAAGTCTCCAAGGGTTATCAATGTAGATAATGGCATAATCTGAATAGAAGAACAATTGCTTTGGAAAAACGATTTTTTTTTTCATTTTGCACCAATTTGAGCAAAAAAAACAGATTAAAATTGACTACTAAAACAATTAGAGAAAAACAAAACGCGTTAAATAAAAACATTTAATATATCATTAAAACAAACAATAGCTTCATAAAGTTTGATACAGCATCACATAAATGTTTCGAATAAATAGAAGATACTTTCACATTGAAAGACAAAAAGTGATGAACCACATGACGCATATTCCGAACAAAGCACCACCAATTCTATCACCAGTTCATCTATGAAGTCGAATCGGAATTTTGCAGCATATTCATTCGACGTCATTCAACTTCAATCAATGAACAGTCATCCCACAGAGTTTTTTGTTCACCAAGGAAGGAAGAAAAAAAAAACACCCGAATGCACCCAAAATTTATCAGCCCACTTTCCACAATGATCACAGGTAAACATGACTAGAAAAACTGTTTTGGAAAAGTGTGGTCAGCAGCCTTTTCTAGGTCCGTATTTTTTCTTCATTTGTGCAAGAAGCTTGTTGTGCACTGCATTGTTTTTGTGCATGAATGGCGCGCGCCTTCTCTGGTCGCTAGTACTCAGAGTTTTGATTCCCGGCGCATGAACAAGAAATGCATTGTCTAAAATGTAGAAATCATAGTCCAGTAAACACAGTTCAAACATCTGAAAATTAAAAAAAAAATCATTTTAATGAATTGTGGAGTATGGTGAAATTAAACAGCAATACAAGTAAAACTAAAATGTCTTGCACAATATACAATACAGAGTTCACAAAAAAAAATATAATAATAATAAAATGATTTTACTGTGAAACGTTAATCGAGATAGGAGAATCGACTTAGGTATTCGCGTTGGATCAGATTATCCCGGGGACTAATTACAGTCATTTTTGTGAAAANAAGATTTTTACCTTACCATCATTTTGGAAATAATCATTAGTGTATTACTTCATCGCTTTTCCTTCTTTTTAAGATTATTTCCAAAAAAAATTTTTTTTAGTTAGGTTTAACATTAAAAAAAACTGCTTTTTGTAGCGATTCAGAAAACCGGAAAAATCAGTTATCCGGAATAGCGATGGTCCCGATAGTTCCGGATAATCAGTTCCCTACTGTAATAATAAAATGATTTTACTGTGAAACGTTAATTGAGGTAGGAGAATCGGCTTAGGTAATCGCGTTGGATCAGATTATCCAGGGGACTAATTACAGTAATTTTTGTGAAATTAGTTTTCATCTACAATTGCAAAATTCCCACATAGCCAGATTATTTCAAGTGAAACTTGCCAAGTTTGCAGGGGGATACTTTTCTCGGAATTAAGTCGGCATTGTGTGATGGGTTTTTTTGATCGATATGCCAAATTTAACTCTGGCACAAGACAATTCTCAAAAGCCATGAAAATGTCAGTGATGAAATCTGTACTAGAGGGTAGTAAACGACTCCCTCCGACAAAAAACACACGTGATTCAACTTCTAAGCTCAGAACGTTGCATGAGTTAAATGTCATGGACATGAATTATTTCAAAAAGGTTTTGTTCACCTTTACATTTCAGTGACCAAACTCCTGTCTGATACAAAGGTGCCAAGATTCCCCAAGCTGGCCTACAGTCACATGTTCTGCTGTGGCTCCCTCAGATTTCTTTAAATTCCTGAGTTCAAAAACTCTGAAAGAACATTAATTGGGTGTTTTAAGTTGATGAAATTTAAGGCGCCAAAACACGACACAACCATCCACTTATTCCTGAAAAAGCAAACCGTGACGCATTTTCAGAATTCACATTTTTAGGGCCTTTTAATGTGGTAAAGATAAATCGTCGCAAGAAAAGCTCATTTGAAGCCTTTTATTGCATAATATGTTTTTTATGCGAGCTTTTAATATACATTTTTATACGATTTAAAGTGACAAAAAGGTAAACTAATATCTTGAAAAGCCAATTTTTTTGTCAAATTAAAGTCCGTTTAGAAGTCGGAACGATGTCACGCGCTTTTCAGTTTCATCCTTTAAATAATTAATTTCGAGAGTTAGGGATCCAAAACTGTCGGAAAAAAGTACTGGATGGTTATAATTAAAGTGACCCAATTCAAAAACCCTGCAACAAGGTCTATTTATTAAATTTCTGTGAAACTTGGTGTATACATTATATAGAACACGGGGAAACTATTTCTGCGGTAACAAAAATAGTTTTAAATTAGACCACCAGATGGCACTTTTCACAAATTCTTAAGACAAACTAGTCAAATCTAAAAAGAGACTTGCAGTCAGAGCCAGAAAATTATTCTGTGTCTCTTTGTCATCATTAATTATGCCCTAAGAGAAGAAAGATAGAGAGATTTATTGGTAAAACAGTTTCAGCAGAACAGCAGAAATAGCTTGGCTGCTCTGCATGAATATCGTCGTTTAAATGGATTGGAAAAAGGGTACCTCTTGAAGAATGTTTTGAAGGTGATTACGAAATTTGAAGAGACTGGAGAGTTGTTTGGCTGCAAATGAAGTTATCGAAGAAGTCGCTTTTGCTGAGTATTGAATGGGCCTCTAGATCCACTTATTCTTCAGCTAGTGATCAATAGGTGTCACATGCATTGCTGATACCGTGGTCGACAGTGCCAAAAACTCGGAGATTCATTTTAAAATGGTACCCGCGTAGGATCCACGTGGTGCAAATAACGCAACTTCAGGACCACCAAACACGCTCTGAATTTGCTTGTCGATTTTTGGTAACATACGGAGGATGCTTCACCTTCTTATGCACAAACAAACACAGCATTTTGATTCAGGATGAGAATTAACTCTATTTTATCCTCGGACCGTTAACTCTCACTCCTGGTCTTAAAAGGTGCTTTCTCACGGGTGTACGGTCCAGTGACGTCCTTCGACAGGTCATTCCTGCTTTACTGGAACGGCAAATTTTGCAGATTACGGTTGTAATCTGCAAAAATTGCCTAATTGTCAAGGAACTGCTTCGAGCAAAATTCGGCGAGGATCGTGTAATATCCAATGCTTTTCTGGGTGCCTATAGCCTTTTCGTTCACCCGAATTAAATTCATGTGATTTCTGATTGTGGAGATTCCTAGGACATCGTATTTGTAGATGAAGAATTAGAAGTTTAGTCGAATTGAAAGTCAGCATTATTCGCCATGTTGTTGAAATCCCTCGAGAGATTCTTAGTGCTGGAATTGAACACGCAATTTATGTCAATGAAGCACACGTGTGCTTATTCTGTAAAGTTTTCATGATTCGAACAGATTTTTTGTACATTTTTTAATTCTACTGGTGGTAGAATTGCGGTGTCTATTGTTTTATAGCAGAAATCATTTCTCCGTTGTCAAAATAACGTATATACTAAGTCTCATCAAAATTCATTTAGTAGAATGGGGCTCTGGGTCTCTTTAGATACAGCTACCCTATACGTTTATTCAAAGGAAATGCGTTTATTTACCTGATTTAGTAGCTTAAAAAATATCTACCCTAATTAAGTTTAGGCCTTTGAACCATTAAAATTATATTTTAGTATGCGACAAGCTGATCATTTGATAGAACAGTTTTTTGCTTTTTTTTTCTTGTTTTCGTACCACACTACCACTTTTTTATATCCCCCTGAGATCCAACGTTTGATATAATTTTATTCACTTACATAATTTAAATAAAAAAAATTGTTATTGTATTGTTGAATTTTATAACTTAATTTTTTTCCTGTAACATGTTTTCACCAAGTGAGTGTTCGTGTAAAAAAAATTATTTGGTTTCACCCAAAAGTCAGAATTTTTAATTACAATAAATGAGAAAGGTCAGAAATTTGATTCAAGTAAGTTTCATGGAAAATAAATATCTTACGATTTGAGTCAAAAGGATTTTGTTTCACAACCAAAATGTGAAGAAATATATTACAAAAGTATAATACAAGGTATAAAAAGTGATAAAATTTAACATTTATCAATTTCTCATGAATTTATAACTAAAAAATTTTTAATGACTATGATTGATTAAAATGTTAATTAAAAACTTCATCAAATTTTATATTTTACTTTCTTTTAAGCAATATTTGTAAATAAAAAGCAAATTTTCTGTCATTATTTAATTTTGGGTTACAGTAGGTGTTTTTTTTATGAAGACCACTTTTTGAGAATTGATAGGTAAACGCAGTTTTTTGACAATGCAACATACTTGACAAAGGAGGAAATTTTTTAATAAAATAATGTTATTTTTACTCATATTTATCAATAGATTTAAGAAAGTATAAGTTGTAACTGTAACTCATATAAATAGGAAAGATGCAGTGCTATCTGTCACAATGACGAATGCATGCGTGAAACAAGCTTTCACGAATTTTAAATGACGTTATCTCAAAACATTGGTTTTTCAGACTTTTAGAGAATAAAAATTGAAATTGATTAGGATATCCACTAAATTCCGTACCCGTATTTTTAACAGCCAGGTGGTTGCAGTTGTTATGAAAGTTGTGTCTAGGTTTAGTAAAGTGTCTATGCAATTCAGAATGAGTCTATCTAGAAGAAATTTGGGTCCGTTAACGGGCCTTTCACAAAATTTCTTTTCATAAAAACGGACCCTTTACAAAATATTTTAACTCAAAAACGGACCCTTCACAAAATAATTTATCTCTTAATCGGACCCCTCACAAATTTTTATAACTTCATTATTATTTTGTTAATCGAATAAACCCTTCCCATGGCAGGAAACAAGAAAGATGGATGTAAACGAATTAAGTTTTGTCTTCGGCAGACGATTCTTCCATAATTCGTCCGAAATTAATATTCGGCTTTCAGCAGTATAGGCTAAATACCAAATATTTGTATGTTGCATCTCTAATTTAGAAGCAGCAATTGTTGTTTATTTTTTAAAATTTAATTTTTTTAATTATAATTTTACAGTGTTGAGCATAATCTTGTATGTCTTTACAATTTAAAAACTCCTTNGAATACTAACAAGATATAAAATCCAATTTGAAGTAAAACTGAATTTAAAAGAATGCGATTATTATTACATTCCATTTTCAAACAAAACACTATTAGTTTACAGCGACAGTTAAAAAGTAGACAGTTAAAAAGCGAAACAGAAAAAAGGCTATGCTTACAACAAATTTTTTTTTATTTTTTCGTTTGATTCGGGTTTTTGAGTTTTCGAAATCAAACATTCCAACTTAGTTACCTGATTTTGACGATATTTTCTCAGTTGTTCTTATAGTTCAGGGGTGGCGAACCTTTATACACCAACGTGCCATTTTTTCTAAAAAAATTTTTAATGAAATCACAGACGTGCCGTCAAATAATTTTGACTTCATGGTTATTGGGAAAATAATAATACTAAATACTATCAACTCAAAACTCTTTATCTACATTGAAAAGAAAATACATTTTGCAATGTCTCAGTTATACGCGTAATTCTAAAGTAACATCAGTGGGAAATCTGTTCTTGCAGATTAAATGACAAATAACTTTTATTAGGTTGTAATATATTAGGTTAAGCAGGACTGTTGATTTTTTTGTTAGTTATTTATTGTTAGCTTGTTTTTTATGGCTATTAATTGCTTTTTTAAGTATTAATTGTTAATTTTTTTATTTATAATTGTTTATTATTTTGTTTGTTTTTAGTGAATTTTAATTTAATTGTTACATATGCTTCATAGTGTAATAACATTTGTGTAATAACAATTCATAGTACAGTAACAATTGTGATCGGTGGTGAGCCCAAAATATTGTGTCGCGTGCCATTGGTTCGCCATCCCTGTTCTAGCCATTATATTCTTTTCCTTTTTATTATATATTTTTCTTTATAAAGTTTACTTAGTTCTAAATTAATCCTAACTCTCCATCTTTGATGGGTCCATATATTTTCCTGAGAATCTTTTTCTCTAAAGTATAATAAGTATTTTTTTCTTCATTCTGATTGCTAGTCGAAGCTTCTGCTGCATATGTGACAATGGGTCTAATTATTGTTTTATATAATTTTAGTTTCAATTCAATTTCAGTTTAAGATAAAGCGATAAAAAAAAATTTGTCCTTACAAAGGGATAAGAGTTGACTTCAAAAATGATTTATACCTCAAAGTCGTATTTTTATTGGTATACAATGTCCAGAGAAAAAAACGGACTACCCAGAATAACTTTTGATCTAATGATCGAATTTTCACGTTCTGGAACTCAATCTTAATGGCTCTAGGGCAGGGATGGGCAAACTTTTCTGGTCGAGGGCCAAAAATCGAAGAAAAAAAAATTGGCGGGATAAATAAGAACATCTAAAATGAAAATAAAAAAATACTATATGCTATTTTTAATGTAAATATTTAATGAGATGAATGAAATTGCGATTTCATTTTTAAAAGTTCCTTATATTAAGGTTCCAAGTGAGATTTTAAGGAACAAGGGTAAATGTTTGTCTGTTATTCTACTTCTGAAATGATTTTTTCTCAGGTTCGTAGATGGAAGCACTTGTTCACACATAAATAAAAGGAAGCAAACATAGCCCTGATTTTCTAGGCATGAAATATTTGGGAAACTAGCATTTGGTAATGATTTGTAAAACTCAATTTTTGGCATATTCAGAAACAATTGCTTCAGATGGCACCAATCTACGGCTATTCTATAAAGAACTTCTGCTCATTTTACCAATTGAAGCTGTCTGTGCTAGCTTCCATCAATTTATGTTTTGTAGAACAAAAATAGAGAAAGTTAAAAGGTCAGCAGTACTTAGTTAGAAAAGAAAGAAAAATAATTTTAAACAAAGTAGACAAGAGAATGGATGTATATTGTTTATATTCGCCACGGATCAGCAAGTTAAAATTCTATCCGCGGGCCGTAGTTTCCCCATCCCTGCTCTAGGGGGTGGGCTCACATATACTAATTAATAAATGTAGACGATATTTTAAGTTACGAAATCAGACACAAAAACGTACTTTATCTGAATAAACGTATCTTTTTTTCGATGGATTTGGATTTTTGATCCCCAAACTATAGGGGATAGCCGAAATCTGAGAAATATGGTCCTAATTGGCGAGGAGAAAGCTCAAAAAGTTTGGACTCCTTAATGTTAATTTTTATTTTTTCCGTATTTCGATAGCGTGAAATTCGAAAGCGAAAATTCGATAGTGTGATTTGCTTCCCCCCCCCCCCTACTTTTTCTGTTGTAACTATTTAAATGAACCTTTTCCACCTATTCGTTTTCAAATTTCTGAGGCTAGTGAGCCACATGAAATCTAAGATTGTATTATACAAGGAAGCAAATAATGTTTAGCGCATTTTTCAAGCACAAAGCAGCGTTTAATATTTAATCTATGATTTTGTACAACTTAGTAGCGGTTTTTCACATCAGTCTCATCCTGAATCGCATAGCGACTTCTACGTATCCAGACACCAGTTCTGCAACCATAGCTGAAGCACTTAAGCTGATAAGAGATTGAGCTTCGAAAAGTAGTGAACACATTACATACATTACTAATGCAATTTTAATTGCAGGTAGGTGTTTTTACAGTACAATTTTTGAACAATTAAAGTGTTACCTGTGACATTTTGTCCCTTTTCCCTTCCCATGTAAGTCTCTCATCGTAAAAAGGTTCTTCATTTGTTCCAATGTAAATAGGCTCCCATGCAGTGCGTGGTATTTGGCGTTTTGTACTATGAAAAACACCGAGGGAATCTTCCTCTGGTATGGTTTTGACCCACTCGTCTCGCCTACAAAATAGAAATTTCATATCAGTGCCGATAATAACATAAAACGTAAGACTAAACACATAGACAGCCATCATTGCGATTCTGTGCAAAAAGCTGAAACAGGGTATAGGTGATTATCCTAAAACCTAACAACCGTGCAAAAAGCTGAAACAGAGTATAGGTGATTATCCTAACAGCCGTGTAAAAAGCTGAAACAGAATATAAGGGATTATCCTAAAACCTAACAGTTTTTCTTCCAAAAAAAAGTTTTTTGAAAAGTTAAAAAAATATTTGCTTTTTTAAAAGGCAATTAACGAGGGGGAAAGGAATTTTAAATTATTCCACATTGCAAAATTTAACTGTACTAAATGAGATTCCGTGGCGTAACTACCACTATAAATAATAAATACCAAATCACTAGTATATAAGATATGTTAACTTGATTCTATCTTGAGGTCCCTTATGATAGATGAAGGTTGACATAGTCTATAAATAAATCCCTACAATGGTGACCCGGACGTGATATGGAATTCGTTAACATGATGGATGGTCCACATTAAACAGTTGATTTGCTTAATATAAACAGCTTAAAAAAAAGATCCGGTGAAGTAAATAAAGTCTCCCGGTAATAAACAATATAGGAAAAAAATGAGCGAAATGCTAAGAACAAAAAAATGAAGAAAAAATATAAGGAGCAAAAATTTTATAAATAAAAAAGCATGAATCAACTAGTGGTAATCGTTCATCGAATTCTATCACAGATAAAATTCTGGAAGGGATGTAATTTGGCGTAACTACCACTGTAAATATTGAATACCAAATCACTAGTATATAAGACATGTTAACTTGATTCTATCTCGAGGTACCTTTTGATAGATGATGGTTGACATAGTCGAAAATTAAATCCCCTCAATTCAAACGAAATAATCATCTTTGGAGAACCGTTTATTTCTTATTTTATCATTCGTAATTGCAAAGAAAAAAATATTGTTTTTTAATGGTACTATCTTCGAAATGTTTGAGAACATTAAATACAATTTTAAAATTCAGTATTAAAAATTCATTTTAATCGCGCAATAAAAGTAAATCAACCACACCTTCTACCAAGTTTTAGTCAACTGCATCTAAAAGCATTGCACCAAAATCGGTTTTTAGTTTTCCCTATTAAGTTCTGCCATAAATCAGCATTACCTCCTTCCCCTCATACAGTTATCATAATTGTATAAAAAATTGATCACATGACATCTCTCTGTAAACTTTTTCATCTTCCATGAGGGATCACTGTTTAAGAGAGATTCTTTATCGCACAAGAGAGAAAGGAAACTTCCTTTCCGTTACTTAAGCAATCAAGGAACAAAATTCTCCCATAGATAAGAAACGTCTAGGAATTATATCAAACAATTTTCAGTTGCCTACAAGAGCAGAGAAATTTGATAGCATTGGCGTAAATAACATCTTCGCAACCTCCGCGGTGCGGGAACACGACTTTGAGGGGACACTAGCGAAAAAAAATAACACTATTAGTTAAAAAAAAAATTATTCATGAGGAATTCTTTTAGTTCTTATAAATAATAACGTTTAATTAAACTTAGAACGTAATTACTATAAGAGAGGGGGTTATTTTCTCCTATTATTTAAAAATAATTTCATTTCAATATGGTAAATGTAAACGTGTTTCAGTTTAATACCTTAATTCTACCTTCTCATCGCCATTAGTACTTTCCTTTTCTTTAATTAAAATAAAATTAAAGATTATAAATATCAGAATATCTCTTGCCCACCGTGTTTTTAAATTTTTTATGGTAAGTATTAGTTATTTATAATTCGCGCAGGGGGCACATTTAAGTCTATGCAGGCTACTGCTTGAAATAATATCCCCTAAACAGCGGAATACTTAAAAAAAATTTCCTTGACAGAGCAGAGTGTTCTCTCGTCAAAGACTAAAATGTATTATAGCTGTAACTAAACTTGGATGGATAGGAAGCTGAACAAGAAAAGCTAAAAATAAAATATGCCTTAACTGTAAATGTTCAAGAGTTTCAGTGATTACCTTGGAAAGTTTTGACAGGCATCGCACACCCATTTGTGGAAAAAAATCGCCTGAGAATCTCTCACCCTCTTCACCAATTCCGCTTTCGTTTTTGGTGCTGGAAACTCTTTCTTTATCTCGAATATTGGAAGTGTAAAGACGTGTCTCCGAGTTTGTTTTCCCTCGTTCTCTTTATCTAGGTGGTTCACTAACCTCAGAAATCTGAAAACAAATAGGTTCATTTAAATAATTGCAAATGAAAAAGTAAGAGAGCAAAGCAAATCACGCTATCGAATTTTCTCGTGCTTAATTGTAATTCTTTGAAGAGAGCACACCTTAAGATACCCAAATACCTTTTTTATGCAGATTTTTATTTTAAAAAAAACATTTTTCTAGTTTTTTTTTTATACATATAAAATAAAACTATGGATTTTTCTCTTACTGAAATCGTTTGAATTTTGTTACTACAGTACAGAACCCGTTATCCAGAATTCAGAAAACCGGAAAACCAAAAAACAGGAACGAAATTCGATAAATTTTCCTGCCATTTTTTAAAAAAAAAAATTTTTTTTTCCTCATAAAATTTTAGGATTTTTCTTTCTTTTTTGAAAGATGTTTTCCTTACAATCATTTTGGAAATAATCATTAGTGTATTACTTCATTGTTTTTTCTTCTTTTTAAGATTATTATCAAATATTTTTTTTACTTGGACTTAACAATAAAAAAAAAAACGGCTTTTTGTAGCGATTCAGAAAACCGGAAAAATCAGTTATCCGGAATAGCGATGGTCCCGATCGTTCCGGATAATCGGTTCCCAACTGTATTTCAAATGGAACAAAAGTTATGATAATTTTCAAAACAAATAATTTATTTTGGTTTTTATATTCATAATGGTGCCTATTTTGGGCTTTGCCTCGAAACTCATTTTCCTTAATTTTAAATGCAGGGGTGATTGTGAGCCCAACTCAAAAATCCTGAAAATTTATCTCCTATAAAATCATTAATTACGTATTGCAAAAAATTAACGTCTTTATAAATTTAAATCATTAATATTTTCAAAACATGAAATTCTAAATAAATTATATGCAGCATAATTTAAATAAATAATTATGCATAAGTTTACTTTTATCTCTAATCACATTTATTATTCTAACTAGAAAAAATATTTACAAATGAAAGAGATGCCAAGTATAAATTCGAGTTCTAATATTTCTAAAAGAAACATACATTTTTTTAATGCATAAATGTGATCAATAATTTCTTGAAATTTTTGAACTTCGGATTTCCGGAAACTACCGGATCGCGTTGACCGAAAAGTCCGGAAATCCGGATTCTTTCCGGAGCACAATCATCTCTGTAAATGTAATACCTAAAAGTATTTTAGTTCACATTACTTGAAATTTTGTACGAATACTTTCCATACATATGTCTCATGAAACGACAATGGACTAGTTGATTAAACTATTATTTTATATTTTACACCTAAAATAAAAATAATAACTAATAGTAATTTTCATACTTTTTTTACCCAATTAGTTTCGATGTTTGCTGTAAAAAAATACGTTGAACTCTCTAATCTTAATACATTGAACTCTCCCATATGGAGGTTACCTTAGGGATTTAGTCCTGCAGTCACAAGCTCCAGGTCATTTTCTAAATTTACTAATTTATATGTACACTAAAACTACTATTTTTTTATTACTTTGAAGCTTTATGTGATTTCATATATTTCTAAAATAAAATGATTTTTATTATTTCTCATAGTTTGATTTTTCACCATTTATGTTTACCTTCACACTCCGGAATTATTAGACGAATGGAGAATAATAATTTCCTACAATAATTCATCAACTGCTTTCTTTAAGCATTAACTTTTATCACAACAAAATCAAACATTTTCATAATAAAATTTGCTTTTAAATATTTCATTTTAACAAAGTTATAAGTAAACTTCAGCTAAGACATGGAGAATTTATCTAATTAAAAAAAAAATAAGTTCAAAAATATCATATACACCGAAGAGCCATTAAATTATGACCACCCTCCATCTGTAACAATAGGCTCGCCCAGGTTTTCATGGTTTCTCGCCCAGGAACAATGTTTTCATGGGGCACATTAGGATCCATAATCCTCATAGAACAATCCCTGACGTCTGTAAGCTACTTGAACATAGTTGCAGACCAGGTTCACCCATTCATGACAACAGTTTTTCCTGTGGGGGATGGTGTTTACCAATAGGATAGTGCACCGTGACATAAGGGTCGAATCGTCATGGATTGGTTCGAGGAACATTCCAGTGACTTTCAAGTCATGTCTTGGCCCCCAAATTCACCTGACCTTAATCCAATAGAGCATTTGTGGTCCTACTTGGAAAACCAAATTCGTTCTCCCACGCTACCCCCTCGCAATGTGAGGGAATTGCAGGACCAGTTGGTGAGCACTTGGTACCAGATACCTCAGACTACCTATCAGCATCTTGTGGAATCAATGCCGCTGCGGGTGCTAGCAGTTTTGAGGGCTAAAGGTGGTCGTACATGTTATTATCAGGATGGTTATAATGTAATGGCTCTTCGGTGTATGTATAAAGATAATGCACCTTGAACTCATAAAAAGTTTTAAAATTTACCTGGGCACAATGTGTGAACTAGGGTAGAGTTCTATATCAGAGGCTAGAACATACTTCGTTCGGGCTAAATGCCGAGCAACATTTCGAGCTACATTGATAGGGTACGGAAGTTTCTTGGACTGAAAACAAGAATTAACTTTTGTAAATAGCAAGAAAATTTATAATATAAATAAATAGGAGGATTAATATCAATATTTTTCATTCGAAAATAATTTTCTTCAATTTTCTTTTTAAAAAAACTCAGGTAAGTTGCCGCAAAGAAAGGAAACCAATGTTCAGTTCCGTAGCCTTGTAAATTTCGAAACAAAAACAGAAGACAAGGGAACTCCTGGATCAAGTATTGATAAAGAAATTTGCCTTCGCAGGGGTTTGTCCAGACATTTTGTGAAAGGTCCGTTTTTCGTGAAATTGTGAAAACATTACTCGCATTCTTTCAACCAGGGTCCGCTTTTATGAATTTGTGCAAATAGAGTCCGTTATTGCAAAAAAAGCTTTTTCAAGGAATTTTTAAATTGTAAAGATATACTAGATTATGCTCTGCACTGTAAAATTATAATAAAAAAATTTAAATTTTTAAAAATAAACAACAATTGCTGCTTCTAAATTAAAGATGCAACATACAAATATTTGGTATTTAGCCTATACTGCTGAACGCAGAATATTCATTGCGGACGAATAAAGGAAGAAGCGTCTGCCGAAGACAAAACTTAATTCATTTACATCTATCTTTCTTCCCCCCGCCCCTGGGAAGGGTTTATTCCATTAACAAAACAATAATGAAGATAAACAAATTTGTGAAGGATCCGATTAAAAGAAAAATCATTTTGTGAAGGGTCCGTTTTTAAATTAAAATATTTTGTGAAGGATCCGTTAACGGACAAAATTTCTTCTAAACAGACCCCTGTTAATGAGGATATTTTACGTCAGCACTGTGGTCAGTGCCAGCTGGGTGTAGTATTCCTGTCGAGCAGACATCACTGGGATTATGGGTTTGGAATAGTGAGAAAACCACGCTTTTTCCGTAATTTGTGACAAGGAGAATAAAAATCTTATTTAGGAAATAAGAAAAGTAAGCACTTTTTACAAACACCTTTTGAAAAAAGCACCTTTATGGGCTTTTTAAAAAAATTGATAACTCAAAATCGAGTCGAAAAAAAAGAACTTACACCTCGAATTTCCGAAATTAGCTGCAGAGGTTTTGTGCCAGCAGAACAGTCCAAAGGCTCATAATCAGCCATTTCACCTGCTTCCCACGGTGACTCCAACTGTTCGGGAGCCAGGGATGTCTCGAATACTAAATGCCACGTGACATTCACACGAACACATGGAGGGCCACAGTTCCGAAGAAAAATGATCTTCCTTATAGCCACTGGTAGGTCTGTCCCCGGGGCGTACACGGATACGGACACGGGTCCTTCCCATCTCTCACATAATACTGGTACATGTTGCAGGAATTCGTAAGTTCCTTGAGTACAGAGTGTGACACTTTCTTCATACCCTGGTTCTGGACCTAAAACAAAGAAGTAAATTAATTTGAAAGAAATTAGCAGAATGATATAAATTTTGAAAACTTTGAATTAGAAGAACAGGATGAGTCAAACACTAGTGGTAAAAAATGAGGTCAAAAAGGCACTGAACGGCAATTGCAATGATTTTGTCGTAAATTAAGCAAAAGCCTATTTTATCATCAGACTCATGAAAACAAAACTAGAGGTCCAAAGTTTCTACGATATCTTTAATTGTAACTGTTTAATTTCCTCTGTAAATTTTCTATGAGTAATGGAATTTTATAACTTGAAGTAAATAAAGACCTAAGTGATGGAAATTGAGTAAATTAGCCTTTGAATCAGAGATAAATATTATACCTTGCCTTCTATATTCCTTTGAAATAAAATTGGCGTCTCAAGGTTACCGCCAAGCCAACGACCTGATAGACAGCATCAACACCCTCACACGGCAGTTAAGGAGTATCATTGTAATTCCTTGGATCATTGTAGTTTTTTATACACCATTTTTATCTTGGTTATAAGTGGATTCCTTTTCACAAAATAGTGATAAATTAGTTGTATTTTATGCTCTGTTATCAGAAATTACTCTAATGTCAGGTAGGTGACAATCAAAAATGGTTAGCTACTAATAATACATTCTACATCTGAAAAAGTTTGTACCATTTTAAATTAATTGTTCTTAATCACAAAATAATAATGTTAAAATGTTTACAAGGCTTTAATTTAACATCATAAAATAACATTACGATGCAAGTATAATTTAGTAGTATACGAGTATAATCTTTCAAACAGTAGCCAGAGTATCAACTTTTGGTTTCTTATTCCAACTTCTCACTGAAAATGTTCTGGCGTGGATGAAAAACCGAGATTTGCGGATACCATGGCAACGGAGAGGGGTAAAGTGGGGAGAGTGGGAAATTTACATAGACATTGAAACACCTATTCGAATTACAAAGACTATAATAGGCGGACTCTATAATTAAATATTACGCCGTTTCGAAACTTCAGGGACGCACTCTAGAGTGCCCGTAAAGAATGGTAATTTTCAAATATCTCAAGAAATAGCCATGTGATAAATAAACAAAAATGCGTCTAAAAAATTGCATCCAATGACACCAACCATACCAGAAGCTCATCTTTTTTTTTGCGTGGGGTAGGGGGAAAGCTTCAAATTCTTAAATACGAATCGCTATATGAAATATTGCAGTTTTGGATTCTCAGTGGAAAAAAGTTCACAGATAGCGCTCTAATCGCAAAAGAAAAATTGTTGAAACAAATTATTAAGAACCGAAGTATATAGCGAAATAAACGTCAGATTAAAAAACTAAAACTCGATGTGTTTCATATTTTGAACAAATATACTTAATGACACCAAACGTGACTCCTGCTACTTATGTATGCTGATATGTGCTGCCCTTATGCTGATGTGTTTTTCCAATTATGAAATAAGAGATTGTACTAGAGTGAACCAATAAAAATTTGCATACTAAAAATATTTAAAAAAAAGTTATTCCAATCGGTTTACCCACTTTTTAGTTATTAGTGTTAGAGACAAACTTTCAACCGGAGCGAAAAGATAGAGAATATTATTTTACTCTGATTCCGTGAAATGATGTAACATTTCTTTTTTAAATACTTTTATAACAACTTATTATTTACTCATATGAGTATATTTATATTAAAACTTAATGTTAGCAAAAATGGAGAAATTTTTATTAGAATTGTTCATATCTTTGCCACTGCAATTTATTTTTGTTAACCCCTTAACGATCGGTTAATTTTCAAGAAAACGGTCATAAAAGTGTCTATTTTTTTAGCTTTTATATTTGTATTACGTATTTGATTAGGGCTGCAACTAGTTTAAAATAAACTAACTATCTACAATTACCTTAAAAATATCCTGGTACTGCCATCAGGTGTGTAAAATGAGAAATAAAATGTTTTCCGGGGAAAAGATATGACTTAGTTTTATTCTCATTGGCGCGTTACTACTGAACACTCCAGCCCGTCAATATCACGGGAGCGAGAAATAGCGGGTGAAATCTCACCCCGTCATTTTCACGGGAGCGAGAAGGAAGGGGTTCTAAAAAGTTAAATTATAAATTCGTTATTTATAACTAAATATAAATTCGATGAGAAATGTTCAAATGAACATACGCAATTCTTGACACAGTGCAAATCATTATCCATCTTTATGTTAAAAAATAAAGCCCTTCATTTCTTTTTTGCATTTTTTGAAGTTATCAGAGGGACAGTGGAAAAATGGACATTTAAAAACTAATGACTTAAAAACTCCTTTAAGACTCACCTTCTGCTGGAATGTATCTTTTGACGATTGTGTATTTGTCTCTTTGTTCGGAATCCCACACAGAAGACACGTTGGCTGACAGGGTCACTTCTTTCTCTGTTGCATTGCGAATATCGATTTTTCGAGTGTGCGGTGTAGTGATGGACGCATTTTCTCCTGAAACAGATTAAATATTTAGTGGTTTATCTTTTCAACTCTTATAATGTATACAGCATTGAAAAGAGGTTCTTAAACTGTGATCCATGAGTCCCCGAGCATCTCTAGTGACTTTTTGAGGGTCCGCAAACGCCTCTCATTTAATGTTAAAATTTCTCACATTTTCAGACTCTGTAAAGCCACGTACAAAAGTTGAAAGATGTGCCATCCTAGACACATCTTTCAACTTTTAATTTCCCCCACTAAAAAAACTATCAGTATGGCAACTCAAGCCACGAATAAGGTTAAATCCCCACAAAAGGGATTTCTACTAGGCGTCTTCCCTAACCGAGGGAGAATTCAATCAGAATGAAACTTGAACTGGCGAGATAAACATCTCGTGGAATCGGAAAAATCCGATTTGAATATAATGCATAATCAGGAAAATTTTATGTTTATTTGTGTTTATGTTTAGTGTTCCTATTGTTATGTTTAATAAATATATAAAAAAGGAAAATTTGGAAAAATCATTACAACCTTCAACGGACAGGATATCAATATTGAATAACTCAACCTAAAGGCTTGATAAAATAAATATTTCAATCAGAACGTCTACTTCGACAAAGAATATTAAGTCAGCTTCTTTATTGATTTCAACTATATAAACATTACTATAACGTAATGCTTTCAAAAAATAGTAGAAAATCGAGTGCAATGATTAAGAACTAAATTTATAACAAGTCAAGACGTAAACGATTACATTCATCTAGGTTTTCTATTCGAATTGGATACCCGCAAGAATTGAACGCCAAGATTCAGCTGCCAATCAAGATCGCCACCCACACGTGACGTCGCTTGCAGATATCCAACTAAATCGGATCCAAAAATTGGTTGTTGTTGTTGTTGACATATGCCTGTTTCGGCAGAGGGAGTGCAATTGTTCTTGTTTTCCAGTGGCGCCATCTATGGCCAAGGATTCGATTTCTGCCACACCATACGTCACACCCGTTTATAGGGCGGAAGCATTCATACATCCATTCAAAAATTGGTTCAGCGTGATAATAAAACAAGCCTTAATGGCTGTAACGCTAACACGTCAAACACACAACCACGTAATTACGCAAAATCAAGTGATTTCAGTAATTTTCTGGAGTTGCAGACACCCAATCATGGCAGCGTGCTATCTCTAGCTTTTGGGTATAAAAGGGGCTATCTCACTTGCGTCAATGAAGTTGGACACCCTTGCTGCATGGTCGAGAAGGAACGTTCCCGATTGAAGCCTTTTAGGGTTACATTTGGCTTAAACTCGCCAAGTTAAGACGAACAAGATTATGTTCGACATTTGATCCACTCTGTGTAATAAGAATTTTTCATCTTTTGAAATCAGTCATTTTGAGCTTAGTTCGACAATTTGCAATTTTTTTTAAACAGCTGTAAAATTTTCGCCCCTTTTCGTTTCCAATTCAAATATCTGTTTTTATTTCTACTTTTCAAATGTCCTGATTATTTGGTATATGGATCACTGGCTTAATTTGATATTAAAAATTGTTCACAAACATGAAAATCATTCTACGTCCTTAAGGTAAGGAGGAACCTTTTCAAATTGCCAAAAAAAAATTTATTTTTTGTTTTATACGTTCGAAAACGTACATTAATAGCCATATTATTCTCTACAGCTAGATGAAAGCACAGATATCGCAAATAAATCAGTATTGCTCTGTTTCGTAGAGTATTTGTGTAACTAACATATTGTGGAGGACTAATTACTCATCTTAAAGGTAATTTATACAACGGCTGAGGAAATGTCTAATATCTTAAATGAGTATGACAGTTCATAATGTAGAATAGAATGTATCGGCCTAAGTTTAGATGGATCTCGATCAATATGTAGACACAATTCCGTATTAGAAGCTCGAGTTAAGACAATTTTGCTCTCAGCTACATGGAATCATTGCGGCTTATGTAGAGAAACCCTGGTTTCTAATAAAATATCAGAAAATCTTAAACAGACCCTAAGTTAATCGGTTGCAAATGGGAATTTAATCAAAAATAAATCACTAAATTCGAAACGTCTGGAGTAACTTCGTAAAAATAGTGATCACTATCAACTTTTACTCTACTGAAAAGTTTGATGACTTCTTACAGGAAAATTCCAGTCTCTCTTCTGGGAATTAAGGTTCGAAATAATGCTGTTTCACACGGAGTGAAAATTTCATCTCAGTGATCGCCTGAATTCATGTTCATAACTACTTAAAACTGATAATCTGTCAGGCATTTTTGGTAACTTAAATATGGTGAATCTTAAGTCTTTAGAGAGTACATTCTACTGTTTTACAAGATTAAAACAAAATCGAAGAGATTGTGAAAAAGCTATAAGTTAGGCCTCATCGTCTCGTTTTGAAGAAATATTACATTTTCTCCACTCTAATGAGAAGACACGATACTTATTACAAACAATGTACTAAGTTTTAAAGCAAGTACTAAATTTTAAAGCATTGTACTAAGTTTTCTCAAAGCAAAGTTACCGAGAATATCATCTTAATACCAAATTTTTTAAAAAAAAATCTGGATTAGAAATCTATTTGTAGTGAACAGGATGGTCTCACATCTGTAGAAGAACAGCTGATAGAAATTTCCACAGATGTGAAATTAGTATTTAAGAACACAAACTTTTGGGGTCACTTACAGGACAATTTTACGAGTGGTTCACGAAACCTCTAAAAACTTTTCCAATTTACTCATTCACGGGAAATAACATTTTCAGCTCTTAAAACTAAATATTGAAACTGCCTGAAAAGCATAGAACCAAATTGATTTCAAATATTATATTGTACTCGATATAGCAGCATTTGTAAAAGAAATACAGCAGAAATACATATCTTTCTCATTGAAAATTTTAATTAATGTAGTTACGTGAATTATTTTAAAGTAGTATTTTGTGTGAGTGTGATATTGTTAATTATATGTTTTCCTAAAGGAAAATAAAAATGTCTGTGTAAATAACAGAGGCAGTTTTGAGATAATTGCGGAACTTATAAATCTCTCAGTCATGTTGAGTCCGAATGGGGGTGTATATGTCAGGGTGATAAATAAAGGGCGATAATCGAATGTTTAAAAAAAAAAAAGCTGGCATAGAGCATAATCTGTAGTGTATCCACCACTAAAAAATTCAATTCCAATTCACCAGTACATAAGACAAGTTAGCTCGATTCTGTGTTAGGGTACATTTTCATAGATGAAAGTTGACATGGTCGATAACAACTCTCTCCACATGGTCATTAATAAAATTGATAATGCCTATAGCTATGATTGGAGAAAAGCTGCACTATTAAAAATCAAATATGGATAGTTGATTTGTTTAAAGCATGGTAAAATGAATTCCCTCGAATTTGTATCTTTTGTAGTAGTAGACACATATTACATTTTCTTTCTTTTACATACATATATACATATAGTCAAACCGCGCTGTAGTGAACCTTCAAGCTACCGAAATTTCGTTTCACTATAACCGGGAGATCACTATATACGTAATGCAAACCTTTTATTTTTTACTAGGGGAGAATGGGGTCAATTGTAACAGGGTACGATTGTAACAGAGCAAAAATTTCGAGTGTCGGGTTCTAGATTTGGTTCCTAGGTGGCGCACAAGGTGTATTTAATAAATCTACATGTACACCCATGATGGCAACCATTTTTATGTACTTTTGAAAGAGTTACATCACAAAAGATATTTTCACGCCCCGAAAGTACTTTTTTTGGTATTAGAATATTATATTGTAACAAAGTAATTTTGTTTAAACAAATAAAAATTAGTAACCGAATATGTAAGTGGACACCTTAATTAACATTTCAATAAAAAAAAAGATTAGTTTTGCTAATTAACTAGAATTGTTTTTAACAAATGAAGCTGAAATGGCGTCTTGGGGACAATTGTAACAATAAGTAAAGGGACGAATGTAACAGCTGAAAATAAATAATCTTATGTTTACAAACCATTACTTAACTCCTTAAGAACCACCAATAGTTTCCTATATCCTTTATATAATGTTGCATGTGCATTATTTTATTTGTCACCTTTCACAGCATAAATTAAAATTTTTAACCCCTTAAAGTTAAAAGTTTAACCCTTTAGGTCTCTGCTCATTATTTTTACTCCTAAAATATCACTACTATTTTGATCGATAAAAAAATGTATCACAACTATGATAATATGCATAATTAACTATGTTTTAGTTGAATTTATGAACTGTTACAATTGACCCCGTAAGTGGGGACAATTGTAACAAGTGCACGACTGTCAAAAATTGTTAATAACTAATATAATAACATTTAAAATCAGGTATTTATTTTTTTTCTAGTAGAGGATACTCTACTTTACTCGTCTGTCAATAATTACTAATAATATATAGGATTTTTTGTTAGTTAAAAATAGTTAAGTAAAAAATGTTACAATTGACCCCACTCTCCCCTACTCTTCGTCTTGCGTACAAAAAATTTATGGGATGGCCTTTATTTAGAGATGGGAAACTGGGATAGAAGAAGCAAACAAGAAAAATGCTTATGGCTACATTACACTCAATAGATAGTTATAAAAATCCGTATATGTATTTTATGTAGAAATTTCAAAATTACCAAAAATTGAAGGGAAAAAAAATCAGTCGAATACAGAAAAAAGTTTATAACATCCTATCTTCTTTTGGTACACTATATCCACACAAAAAATAATATTATATGTGTATAACAAGGAACGGGAGCAAACATTTCGTTCACTATATCCGGGAGTTCACTATAAACCATGTTCACTATAACGGGGTTCGACTGTATGTTATACTATATATACTATATCATAAATCTGTAAAAATTGTAATAGATTATTACCTATAGTCTCTGTCCATGATAAAGAGGGAGAGATTGTGACAGTTGGAACTGGTGCAACGCGTTGGCGCAAAGGTGTAGGTGGTACTTTACGCTGTGGTGGTGCTGGAGTCGGCGCAACGATGACGACACAAGGGACGGTGGTTCTTGAAGTAACTTTGTAATTAAGGACGTTGAAGATGGCAAGCAGAACATTGAACAACACGAAAACAACGCCAAATAAACGACCTTCAGTCCGTAGCCACATCCGCTTCCTGAAATAAATAATAGAAACAATATAACGTGGATGTGTTATGCTTTATTAAGAAAGAGAAAGAGATTACATTTTTTAAACAATTTTAAAATTGTCCTAAAAATAAACTTTTTTGGTAAGAACTTATTTAAATGCTATGCGCAATTTAAATTTTCTATCATTGAAAATAAACCTAAACAATAAATAGATGTATGCAACAAAATCTAATATAATGCTAGCTTAATAATCTATCATAAGCGAGTTTTCGACGTTTAATATGAAGGACCTATTCTCTGACCTGGAGGCAAAATACGTTAAAATAATAATTCGTATTGGTACCACAGAAAATTTAAGAAATTAGTTTAACATTTTGGAGAAATTTGAAAAAGGTAATTAAATGCTATGTCCATGTTTTAAATACGCATTTTGAGTTGTATCATTTTTTGAAACACGCATTTCAACCTATGCCCATGTTCTTAACCATGAATTTTGAGCTATGTTCAAAATAAAAAACTCACCGACGATGAAAGGTATGCTCTCAAAAAAGGGGTTAAAAAAGATTATCCAGCTCTCACGATTAACATTGCAGTGACAGAATATCTAAATTCTTACTTTTGTCCTTATGTTCCAAATTGAAACAAAAGTAAAGATATGGAAAATGATAATACATATGATGGATTACGCTGAATATGGTTATTTCCGTTCAAATTAATTTTAAACTGATAAAATATTTACCTTATAACATTAAAAGTCAAGAAAATAATACATAAAATTTCCTGTAAAATAATAAAACGGTCTTTAAAAGAATAAAACAATTATTAACGTTATTTTAAAATGTAATTAACTTAATTATGAAATTTATACTTGATAAAACCTTTTGGTTTTAACAATTCTTTAATTAGTAGCAAATGGATTTTCAAAATCAGTAACAAAATGAATTTTTAGTAAAATATAGGCTACATCAGTAGTATTGCGTACTAAATGTATAAATAGGAAGTACAGTGGCGGGACTTTTATTTGCGTTATTCACCTGAGAGTGTTATTCACCGGACATTTTATATTGGAAATAAGACACTTATTGTTGTTATTAATGACACGTGTTAATGCTTTCAAGCGATGCTTAAGGCAGAGGGTGTGTTTCTTGTTTTTTCTGTATCGCTATCTACGGCAAAGAATGACTTCAGTCACACACACAGGCGTCACAGCCCGTTTAACAGGGAAAACTCATTCATACTCCATTCATTTATCCACAAATCCTAATTTTGACCCAAACCAAATAACGATCAATCACCAATTCAGTACTCCCTGTAGTATTGATTTGTTAAGGGAACTTTTAGAACTCTTTGACCGACAAATTTAGCTTGCACCAGTCACCGCAAGGGGAATCTTTTGCCTGCGGGATTCAAACTCACGATCTCATGAGCATGAGCCCAGCGCCCGAAAAAAAATCTTAAAAAACTTAAGCACTCTACAAGAAGGTAACAAATTGAAAAGTTTGAGCCGCGATGGCTCAAGGGACAGAGCGTTCGCCTTCCAATGCGGTGAACCGGGGTTCGATCCCGGCGATGACTGGTCGATACGAATTCCGCATCCGGCTTTTACCAATCACAGTGCTAACGTGAAATATCCTCAGTGGTAGACGGATCATGTGTTAGAGTCTCCTTCCAGTCAGGCTAACCATGGGAGACTCTCCTGGTCTTCCTCTCCATGTAACGCAAATGCGGGTTAGTTCCATCAAAAAGTCCTCCACGAAGACAAATTTCTCCCAATACTTCATCCAGGAGTTCCCTTGTCTTCTGGATTGGATTCAAACTTACAAGGTTACGGAGTTGAACATTAGTAGTCGTAAAGCCATAAAATTGGGTCGGCTGTTCAACGACGGTTATAAAATAAAATTGAAAAGTTTCACAATCAACTTTCGAAAACTAACGTACATAATGAAATATTGGAAAATTTTTATTTTTTAGAATACTCTAAATCATGAATGATAAGAAAAGTTTTAATCGATGAGAGCCTGTCAATTTTACTTAAGTGGAGTATTCGGAGTAGACAAGCGTTCATCTCTATTTATTCAAAAAAATGGTATCGAGCTACTCTTTTTTGTTTTTGTTTTTTTTAAAAAAAGAACACACAGCTAAATAGGGCAACTAAGAATTGAGTTTTATGTGTTATGATACAATAATGAATTTTAAACTTTCCAAAAGTACAATAACTGGTCTATGTTCTCGAGTATAAGTCTAG